TGTATGTCATTCGACACTTGGCGATAGCTGGTCATGTTTTGAAGCAAAAGTCAAAGTAGCCAGAACGTTTGGTAGTTATGACTCTAATTTTATGAAACTGTGACTTTCATTGTATCTATTGTTTAGCTGTTCTCGACTGGGCGAGTTCATGTGAACCAGTACAGGGGTGTCAGCATGCGGGTGATGTTTCTACAGCTCCCTGTGGTAGTAGCTGTTGCCCCTGGTTTTGTTGGCGATGGGGTGCATCCTGTACATGGAGGCGCTGGGCGTGCTGATGTGGTCGTCGACGCTCTCCACCGTAGTGTGCAGCAGGGAGCCGTTCTTGTCCCCCCTCTCGCTCCCCAGGGACATGCGGGTACTGTAAAACCCCCGCACCATCACCTGCAGGTGCTGGTTACGTCTGCAGGGCTCACACGGGCACCAGCGGAAGAAACGGAGAAACCCTTGGCGAAATCTGGAAATAGAAACGACACCGGATGTTTACAAAACTTGAATCACGTGAGCATGTTAAAAATAAGAGTATAAAAGGGAGCTAACTTGTACAAATAGAATACTTTGTTATATATGAGGGAAAACCTGTATGTCTATTAAGAAAATGAAGTTTTTATACTACAAAGGTTTAAAAAATATCCAAGTAAACGGTCACTTTAGAGTTAGGTTTGTGGTTAGGTTTAGGAAAAGGTTATGGGGTTAGGATAAGGGTTAGTTATGTTACCATGCAATTGTGTGGATGTTATTAACTAATCTGACTACAATTGCGTAAACAATTGTGAGCATAAGACTGCTTGCGTTGACGTTCTGGGTTCAAACCTACACTAGTCTCAACCCCGGGGAAGTGGGTTTGCTAAGTCAAATTTTCATGTTTGGTGAGTTGGAGGGTGGGTGGACAGGGTGGGAAACTGGTGGTGTAGGGGTGGTGGGTGGGATAGGGTAGGTGGGGGTGGGGGTGGTGGGTGTGATAGGGTAGGGGGTAGTGGGTGGGATAGAGTAGGTGGGGGTGGTGGGTGTGATAGGGTAGGGGGTAGTGGGTGGGATAGAGTAGGTGGGGGTGGTGGGTGGGATAGGGTAGGGGGTAGTGGGTGGGATAGAGTAGGTGGGGGTGGTGGGGTGGTGTAGGGTTGGTGGGGGTGGTGGGTGGGATAGGGTAGGGAGGTGGTTTAGGGTAGGCGATGGTATTGTAACTTAGGTGGGGGTGGTGTATGGGTTGTTTAGGATATGTGGGATGGTGTACAGGAGGTGGGTATGGTGGTGTTGGTAGTAGCTTTTAGTTAGAAGATTGAGTAACAGTAAACTATTAACCGTACCGTGTCTAAATCTTGTAACTTTACCCTAATAACTATAAGGGATTTTACGTATTGGAAAATATTTACAGAAATAGACTAGCTAACATGCTGAATAAAAACAGATGAGAAGTCTTTTGGAAAAAAAATAGATTTTGATGTAATTAACATATTTGAAATTATTTTGTCACATAAATTTAAATGCAATGAACATTTACAATGTTAAACATGAGTAAAATATCGTCATCACTTCGGCATATAAAGTATAATTTGTTTTGTTTTTACCACTAAACAATCAAAGTTTAAAAAAAAAATTGATTTATTTCGTTGCTAGGATAATGCTATAATGTCCGCAAACAGGATCTACTTTCTCAGGGCACTTTACCGCACGTATCCCGCCGCCACATAAAGTAGGCGGGGGGGGGGGGGGGGGGGGGGAGAGTGTCCTTCAGTTTTATTTCCTCCTACATCAGTGTCAAGGTCGTGGCACTCACGTGCATGTCCCCCCCCCCCCCCGACTAAGCCGTGATATATTGTAATTGCTTTATGCCTTAACGTGAGTACGCATTAGAAAAACACGTGCACACGCTGGCAGTCGGGTGAAGGGTGAATGGGTTTAAGTCACACACACGAATGGGATTAGGATTAGGATAATGGATGAGTATCAGAAGCGTCCGTTGTATCAAACGGTAGTAGGATGTCGTTTTATGGCTGTCAGGTGACTAGGTACAGCTTCTAATTTTTCAACTCTACGTGTCTGTCTATTCAAAATTCTTTCTACCAGTTAAATCCACCAAACACCCCAGCGCTCCACTAATCCACCAAACACCCCAGCGCTCCACTAATCCACCAAACACCCCAGCGCTCCACTAATCCACCAAACACCCCAGCGCTCCACTAATCCACCAAACACCCCAGCGCTCCACTAATCCACCAAACACCCCAGCGCTCCACTAATCCACCAAAAACCCCAGCGCTCCACTAATCCACCAAACACCCCAGCGCTCCACTAATCCACCAAACACCCCAGCGCTCCACTAATCCACCAAACACCCCAGCGCTCCACTAATCCACCAAACACTCCAGTACTCCGAGAGACCACCAAACACTCCAGTACTCCACCAATCCACAAAGTTAAAACTCCAACGCTCCACCAATCCACCCAACGCCCCTACTTTCCACCAATCCACCTCTCCTCCCTCCCCCCCCCCCCGATGTACGGGAGGCAACTGTTGAGGAGGGTATCAGAAGTGTTGACGAAGCGGATCGCAAACAAAAGTTTCCTTTTCAATTTCTTGCTGGCCAATCGATTGTACGCTTTCTCTGAAGACCCCTACACGGGAGAATGGTGGGACAGACTTCTCTAGCACCGTGGCAGACTATCAAACTACAGACATTTGGACAGACTTATGCTTGAGGGCCCCTACACGGGAGAATGGTGGGACAGACTTCTCTAGCACAGTGGCAGACTATCAAACTACAGACATTTGGACAGACTTATGCTTGAGGGCCCCTACACGGGAGAATGGTGGGACAGACTTCTTTAGCACAGTGGTAGACTATCAAACTACAGACATTGGTACAGACTTACGAAATGAAGACTAAAGACTCCGGTCAGTTCAGAAAAATGTCACAGTTCAGTTCAGACATTGGACATTAAAACACGATTTATAATTTTAACATACTGATGGTAAATATTCGAAAAATGTTTCTTTCAATTCGAAATTTAAGGCAAATATTTTGCTATACCCCGTGATATTGTTCAAAGACCCACGTTATTATGGATAGCCCCTTGGTTACTGTGGATAGACCCCGTTATGTTATGGATAGACCCCGTTGTCTTGTGGATAGACACCTTTGTATTGTGGATAGACCCCTTTGTATTGTAGATAGACACCTTTGTGTTGTGGATAGACACCTTTGTATTGTGGATAGACCCCTTTGTATTGTGGATAGACACCTTTGTATTGTGGATAGACCCCTTTGTATTGTGGATAGACACCTTTGTATTGTGGATAGACCCCTTTGTATTGTGGATAGACACCTTTGTGTTGTGGATAGACACCTTTGTATTGTGGATAGACCCCTTTGTATTGTGGATAGACACCTTTGTATTGTGCATAGACCCCTTTGTATTGTGGATAGACATCTTTGTATTGTGGATAGACACCTTTGTATTGTGGATAGACCCCTTTGTATTGTGGATAGACACCTTTGTATTGTGGATAGACACCTTTGTATTGTGGATAGACACCTTTGTATTGTGGATGGACCCCGTTGTATTGTGGATAGACCCGGTTGTATTGTGGATAGACCCATTTGTGTTGTGGATAGACCCGTTGTATTGTGGATATACCCCGTCTTGTGGATAGACCCATTTGTGTTGTGGATAGACCCGTTGTATTGTGGATATACCCCGTCTTGTGGATAGACCCCGTTGTATTGTGGATATACCCATTTGTGTTGTGGATAGACCCCGTTGTATTGTGGATAGACCCCGTTGTATTGTGGATAGACCCGTTGTATTGTGGATAGACCCATTGTATTGTGGATAGACCCATTTGTGTTGTGGATAGACCCATTTGTGTTGTGGATAGACCCCGTTGTATTGTGGATATACCCGTTGTATTGTGGATAGACACCTTTGTATTGTGGATATACCCCGTCTTGTGGATAGACCCCGTTGTATTGTGGATAGACCCATTTGTGTTGTGGATAGACCCATTTGTGTTGTGGATAGACCCCGTTGTATTGTGGATAGACCCATTTGTGTTGTAGATAGACCCCGTTGTATTGTGGATAGATCCATTTGTGTTGTGGATAGACCCATTTGTGTTGTGGATAGACCCCATCGGCGGAGAGATGTTGTACGACCTTGTGAATAATCTGGCAAAACTTCCACAAAGTCAAGGACACGCTAGCAATTTGCTTACAAAACATGGGATAGACTCATCTAGCCTCTGTTTACAAACATGGGATAGACCCATCTAGCCTCTGTTTACAAACATGGGTTACACTCATCTAGCCTGTTTACAAACATGGGATAGACCCATCTAGCCTGTTTACAAACATGGGATAGACCCATCTAGCTTGTTTACAAACAAGGGATACACCCATCTAGCCTGTTTACAAACAAGGGATACACCCATCTAGCCTGTTTACAAACATGGGATAGAACCATCTAGCCTCTGTTTACAAACATGGGATAGACCCATCTAGCCTGTTTACAAACATGGGATAGACCCATCTAGCTTGTTTACAAACAAGGGATACACCCATCTAGCCTGTTTACAAACATGGGATAGACCCATCTAGCCTCTGTTTACAAACATGGGATAGACTCATCTAGCCTCTGTTTACAAACATGGGATAGACTCACCTAGCCTCTGTTTACAAACATGGGTTAGACTCACCTAGCCTCTGTTTACAAATATGGCATAGACCCATCTAGCCTGTTTACAAACAAGGGATACACCCATCTAGCCTGTTTACAAACATGGGATAGACCCATCTAGCCTCTGTTTACAAACATGGGATAGACTCATCTAGCCTCTGTTTACAAACATGGGATAGACTCACCTAGCCTCTGTTTACAAACATGGGTTAGACTCACCTAGCCTCTGTTTACAAACATGGGATAGACCCATCTAGCCTCTAAACCAGACAGCTCTCCAACCCGGAAGTCAATAAAAGACAAACCACATTAAAAACATCAGCAGGAAAATACGTGGGCGAATCCTGAATCTTTTAAAAGGATAAAACTATTTGTGGGATTTACATGCACAGCTTTAATGTTCATTGTGGGGGGGGGGGGGGGTCGAGTGGGGGTCGTTGTGACCCCTGATAAAAACAAACGAAAGCATGCACAAAAGAACTATCATGCAACTAAGATTCAGCTATGTCTATACTTATATCCTAGCTTACAATAAAACATGCCGTCACTCACACCAAGCATGGCGATACGTACACTCATATCAAGCATGCATTCACATGTACTCACACAAAGCGTGATAACACGTGCACTTACATCATGCATGTTAACACGTGCACTCACACCAAGCATGCATTCACATGTACTCACACAAAGCGTGCTAACACGTGCACAACCCACCCCCATGCATGCATGTGTTTCTCGTATTAATATGTTAAAAAAATGCTCCATTCCTATTTTATGAAAACAGGTTAGATTATTTCAGACCGATTAATTATATTCCAACCTATTAATTAATACTAAGTGTAAGAATTAATAAAATTAATAAAATCCTAATCTATACTAGGGGGGAAAAGCTAAATAATGTATTTAAAAATTGGCCAAAATGTAAAGACCTTTTCTGAGTGTAGTTTGTGAGATTATTTCATACTGATTAATTATTATTTAATACGATTATTTTTAAACATTATGAGCTGATTCGAAGTATAAGCTAAATTTTTATATGTTCAAAATAAAATCAATTGTCGGAATCATCACTTTTTACATCTAAAGTTTAAAACATAATTATTAGTAGAAAAAAAATAAAAATTAGTAGCAGTGTTACGAAACAAATTTTAAAAACTCGCTGAAGAAATGTTAATTTTTTTTTGCAAAAGCTGCCCACATCAGCGTGTCTCCTAACGATAGATCTCCACGCTCTTCTGACATAAAAATGTCTTTCTTCCAAGTTCTAGAAAGTGTCCTTCTAAAATATGTTCTTGTCCTGTAAAATGTCCTTGTCCTAGGAAAACTTCCAAAGTCTGGAAACAAGATCACAAATACATGTCTAAATGTTGCAACCGACCTTTCTCCGTCATTCGTCTCACCACCGTCCAATCACAGCTCGTTAACAAAAACACGAGCTCAGTTCATGAACTCCCCAACTAAAGTTCATTTATAAAAGCTGGTCTGTTCTTTGAGGTAATTGGTCTGCTTCGTCTAAGTTAATTCTTGTCACTTCGAAGAAAGATTTCTTATCGAAACCTACACAACTGGTCCAAGGGAAAGTTAACTTAAACACTCAATTGGATTAATGTGGAAAATAGACTTTAAGACAGTTGGACTAAAACTGAAAAAACAGAAACCAGCTTAGTAAAGTGACAGAAAATTCTGTGAGTAAAAATAAAACTAAAAAGTTAATGAGATCTAAACAGGTACAAACTGCTATACACTAGTCTACTCTGGTTTTGTTAGGTTTCGACTGTAAAATCTCACATTACTTTCGCGCGTAGTAAACGGCCATCTTGTGATGTTACACATTTGCTACTTGGTGTAAAAATGGTGTGGTAAACGGACATCTTGTGATGTTGCACATTTACCACTTGGTGTAAAAATGGTGTGGTAAACGGTCATCTTGTGATGTTGCACATTTGCTACTTGGTGTAAAAATGTTGTAGTAAACGACCATCTTGTGATGTTGCACATTTGCTACTTGGTATAAAAATGTTGTAGTAAACGGCCATCTTGTGATGTTGCACATTTGCTACTTGGTGTAAAAATGTTGTAGTAAACGACCATCTTGTGATGTTGCACATTTGCTACTTGGTGTAAAAATGGTGCAGTATACAGCCATCTTGTGATGTTGTACCTTTGCTACTTGGTGTAAAAATGGTGTAATATACGGCCATCTTGTGATGTTGTACATTTGCTACTTGGTGTAAAAATGGTGTAGTATACGGCCATCTTGTGATGTTGTACATTTGCTACTTGGTGTAAAAATGGTGTAGTATACGGCCATCTTGTGATGTTGCACATTTGCTACTTGGTGTAAAAATGGTGTAGTGGCAAGCAAACAGAGACACGTGACTAGGAAGGTACTACAGACACATGAGAGAAGATAACTTGCCCCGACGTTTTTACCTCCCTTGTCCAAACATGGCGCCGTGCAGCATGACCCTACTTTCTACTTTATTCTACTTCATACAACCAGCATATTAAAATTATTTGGCTCCATTAATTTCTATCTTTAAATATTTAATTAATATCTGACTTACGATTGATTTTAAAGCAATTAATAAATTTAGCTAATAAAAAAATATTATGAAAATGAAGCGATCATTATTTTATAATTTAAACTAATGTTTTAATGGATCTGATAGAAAATAAAAAAGCATCCGGACAATTAGTCCGACCGGGCTATTTGTCCGGGTGATATGTGGTGACCGGATCAGACGACTTCAGCAGAATACGGTCATGCTGACAACAGCCACATTTGAAACAGAAGCCGAAAAACCTTTTGAAACCTGCCCTGAACCTGAAATAAGAAAACACATCATCTCTACATGGCATAGATACTAATGATTAAATACATCACCCTTATATGGAGTCGATACCACTGCTGAAAACACCATCTCTACATGGCATCGATACTAATGATTAAATACATGACCCTTATATGGAGTCGATACCACTGCTGAAAACACCATCTCTACATGGCATCGATACTAATGATTAAATACATCACCCTTATATGGAGTCGTTACTACTGCTGAAAACATCATCTCTACATGGCATCGATACTAATGATTAAATACATCACACTTATATGGAGTCGATACTACTGCTAAAAACACCATCTGTACACGGCATCGATACTAATGATTAAAAGGCATCATCCTTACATGGAATCGTTACCACTACTCAAAACATCGATTTTAAATGGTATCGATACCGCTAATAAATTTGAGCATTTAGATTCGATCCAGCCCAAACTATTTAAATACCACATCATGAATTATCATTTTCACTTATTTGTTTCAACGTTCTTAAAACTAAATGAGCAGTTTTACCCCAGAGAAAATAAAACAGAGATTTATTGATTTATGGGAAAAAATAATTGATTGGGCATGTCAGAAGTGGTTTTTTTATATTTTAAAACAACTTTGAAATGTATTTTCGTCAACATTTTAGCTCGTGACACAGCGTGCTTGACCTGTAGAATAGAATTACCGGACTGTGTCAAGTCTGATGTCTGTGTCTAGTGATGTAACTTTTTAGTAGGGTCATCTGGATTTGCCAAATTATTTGGAAATTATTTTTACATTATCTAATGTTGCGTTACACTTTAGCATAAAATTTCACTTTAGATTAGTATGCATTTATTTTATTCTCAGTTAATTAACATTTTGATTCTGGTCTTTGATTTTCATCTTTCCCCATTTATATCAGTAGTTGAACCTACAGAGGTGTGTCTGTGTATTTGTGTGTACGTATGCGTATATGTGCGTATGTGTTCCTTATATGTTAGTTAAATTGGGGGAATGAAAAAACTTTTTTGTGAATCAACTTTTTGTGTAAACCCAAACCCAAATAAGCAATTGGACAATATGAGAGAAATGAGCATACAACAAAAACATCAAGTGATCCAAAGATACACGTAGTGTAAGTACAGTTAGTGCAGTTGCCACACGACATTTACCGTACAACAATCAACAATTGGTGCAAAGGTGGCGGGATCGATTCGTGCACAGGTGGATCGATCCGCGAGACAATGTTACAAGTACATATATACATGTTACACACCCACTCCGGTATCGTTGGTCAAATAATTTTGCACGATACTAAGAGGGTGGCCACGATACCTTGCTAATTAGTTTATTATACACGTCATATAACAAGCCCTATATATTTGTCTATATAGTGTGTTTATGTCGGTAACATGTTGGTGCCAACAAGGACCTCACATATTAAAGGCGGGGAGTGGGGTGGTAGAGGGGTGCAGGCTTATATGACATTGTGCTTTAAGGTAAGGGAAGGGGTGTTCAACAAATATAACAGCATGTCTGAATGACGCTATAAAGAATAATTTTCGTTCGAGTTATGGTTAGTTGGTGCGAAGGTGGAGGGGAGGTGTATTTGTGACGTCATTGTGTAGGGATCTGCCCAGGGTCAGTTGAGGGTAAATCGGCTATATTTGAGTGACGTCATATAGGGAGGGAGGGAGGTTCTTAACTTGTTTAGCGATAGCCAAGTATCAGAATTGTATCTTATTTTTTTTTGTCTCGTCCTCACGTTTTTGCGAGCACTAGACATCAACATAGTACACCAGGCGCAGTGGACTTTTACAACTTATATTTAACATTTGTTAAACCTTAGGTTTACTTGGTTTTCACATATCTTTTTTTCTCTACAATTACCTTCAGGTTTAGATTTGGTTTAAGATTTTTTCAAGCTTTATTCTACATAGTCATTACATATAGGATTTAACTTAGGCTTGAGGTTTATTATAGCTTTCGTTCTATCTGTCACTTATCTGTCACTCCTGTTGTCACTTTAACTGTCACTTTTTGTGTACCGTCGCCATGTTGTTCCTACCTTAGCCGGCCATGACACAGTAAATCCAACCAGGGCACAAACTATTGCCGTAGCGAAGCACGGGTAGAAGCTAGTCTATCTATTCACATATGGTGACACGCACATAAGGACTCCCGCTAACAAGCGGACTTCCAAGACAACACAAAACCAACATCGACCATCAAGTCAATAAAAACACATTATAACTGGCTGTAAGACGAATGTATGAAATACTTTCTGGCGTGAAACCAGCCTTACCACGAAGAACAACCACCAATATTCAACCAAAAACATTATTACCTCGACAACCAACCCCTATCGTGAAATGAAAACCATCGTCACCATGACAACCGAATAACAATACTAAACAAAAGCCAGCATTAACATGACAAACAACCACTTATAATGAAACGAAAACCCTGGTCGCAATGTCAACCAAGCACCTGTACGATACGAAAATCACGTTCGCCATGACAACGAAACAAATGTATGAAACAGCAACAACAAAAAAACATCGTCGCCATAACAACCAAGCTGGTGTATGATGCGAAAATCACGGTCGCCATGACAACCAAGCCGTGTATGAAACGAAAAACCTTGGTCGCCATGACAACCACGACGCCACAGAGCCCTCCCCCCCCCCCTCACCTGGCGTTCATCATGCAGTAGACGATAGGGTTGTACATGGAGTTGGACATGGCCAGCCAGTAGATGAACAGGTACACCTGGTGCACGTACTCCCAGTGCATCACCGTCTTGTTGACGCTGGTCAGGATGAAGTACACGTGCGTGGGCAGCCAGCACACGCCGAAGATGACCACCACCGCGATCATCATCTTCACCACCTGGGGAGATAGCGGTCACGTGATGTCAATTAGGAAATAAATGATACTGAGGCCGAATTTTTCGCTGATGGCGTTTTAATTAAGGTTTTTGTTTTCTTTTTTTTTTTTTTTTTGCTAAAATATTTTTTTTTTCAAATGTTGTATATAAAAAACAAATATAGACCAAAAAAATTTTTTTTAAATACAGATTTTGGCTCAAATAGTGAATATAGAACATAAATATCAACAAAAATGAATTTGTTTTGTTACGAAGTAGCCTATAAATCATTTGTTGAACACCGAAAATAAAATATCGACAAAAATTTTTTTATTATTTTTTATTATGCTTTTTGTTTTATACATCAAAACCAAATTATTTTGTTAAAAAATATAATAGTTCAAATGTTGAATGTTAAAAATAAAATTTCATAAAATTTCTTTTTTTATAACCTATGGCTCATTCATCAAAACTTGAATTATTTAGTAAAAAAAATAAGATTCAAATGAATAATAACAAACATAAAAGCAGAACAAAAATTGATTTCTTTTGTAAACTATCATGATCCAAATATTTGGACACACAAAGATATCGCAGGAGACGTCCAATCAAATAGCATCTTTTTTTTTAATTCTACTGAGGAATTTTCTAATCGCGCACCGTCAATAGCGATCAACAGACCGGAAGTGGCATTTTGGAGGAGGATAACGGCATCTCTTGTGGAGCAGTGTTGTACTTTTGTCACTGTTGACATAGTGGAAACTTGTTTTTGTCAGTGTTGATATGGGGGGAAATTTGTTTTTGTCAGTGTTGATATGGGGGGAAATTTGTTTTTGTCAGTGTTGACATCGGGGGAAATTTGTTTTTGTCAGTGTTGACAAAGGGGGGTAACAAGTTTTGGCCAGTGTCGACATAGAGGGAAACTTGTTTTTGTTTTTTGTCCATTGTGCCATTTGATTTTAAAGACAGTTTAAAGCTTAAGCTCCAAGAGATTTCAAATTTTACATTTTTAGGATTAAAAACCAAATTTGAAATGCAGATATATGAGATTAAATTGTTGTAAACACGAATTACACTGGATACGATGGCCGCATCTCATTTTGGAATGAGAACTTTGATGGCTGATAAACCATAAACAAAGTGTTGATTTTTCTGGGTGATGGGGGTGGTACTTTATAGTTTGAGAGAATTATGTTTGACTGTACCGCTGTTTGTTTAAATAAAAACAGTACTTTACAACACATACTCGGTAAGACTATAAAAAGTGAGCACATATTAGAGAAAAGGACTTGGTTTTTTTTTTTTTTAGATTCCACCAGAAAAGAAAAAAAAAATACATGAATACGCTCTTTCTTTTCAAAGTGGAGTTGGAGTATTTTAAGATTTTATACTGCTATGCTATATAAACGGTGTGATATTATTGACATTCGAGTTGTTGTTTGTGTACTAATTCGATGTGCTTAATACAGCAAATTATTTAGGCAACTAACAATTAAAATAAAAAGCCATTGTTGACATTTTTAGTAGTAGCCACATAGCAACTAAGTTTTTTTTTTTTTTAAATGTTTTTAGCTATCCTATATACCAAAGTATAATTTTATACGTATTATTTGTTTCCAACACTTTAAAGCGAGATGTGTCAACAGTTTCTTTCAAGTATCACAAATCAAAACATTTACCGGAAGAGTGCTAGTGGGTAATTATGTTTTTAAAAAATACGCTGGATTTGTTAAATAATCACCTACATTACTACGTGAGAAATCAACCCAATTTTCAAATAATTTCTTGTACCGAGCAGCTTTTTAATAACACACTTTCTTGAGTGGACGTCATGATGGCCCTGTACTTCTAGGGCAAAAATCGTTTTAGTTAGACTTCCTTGACACGTTTTTGATGAGAGTCATTACACTCAGATTACCCCTTACATACAATTTTCATAAGTGATGTTAATTAGTCACAATAACAGTTCTAAATAAGTCATAACAACTATCCTAAATTAGCCATAACAACTATCCTACATTAGCCATAACAACAGTTCTAAATTAACCATAACAACAGTTCTAAATTAACCATAACAATTATCCTATTTTAACCATAACAACAGTTCTAAATTAACCATAACAATTATCGAATTTTAACCATAACAACCATACTTGTAAGATAATATTCTGGACAGTGAGATATAATCACCACAACTTTGATATATTATACACTGGAAAGATTAACACCACAATATCTGCTTGTGTAATAATGTGTAATGATATGTAATGGTATGAAGGATAAGTAATAGTGTGTTGTGGCATAAATGTGAGTGTGTATGTAGTGATGTGTAATGGTATGTAATAGTATGTAGTTGTGTCATTATTCCGATGATACGTAATTGTATGAATGGGGTGAAATGGTATGTTATGGTATGCTAGCATTGAATGACCTATAATGGCTTTTTTAGTATGCGACAGTCATTATTAGTATGTAATGGTATTTAATGATAGAAAATGGGATAAAATGGGATCTGATAGTATGTCATGGTATAGATTTCAGAAAGAAAGGGAAAGAGAGAGAGAGAGAGAGAGAGAGAGAGGGAGAGAGAGAGAGAGAGAGTTGAAGTTCAAATTGAAGTTCAACTTGTAACTTACGCAATAAGTGTTCGTGTTTGATAGGATAAGCAATTTTTTATTAGAATTGTGAGGAATTACATCCAGATAATTAAAATAATCATTAAACTTAAACTAATTACCCGGAAATTATAGCATCGAGCTAATTATGTGGATACGGAACTAATTACACTAAAATTGAAAAAAATGAATAATTTGCCCAACAGACTAATTTTTAAAAACAACCTGTAGTTATCGGACTTTGATTCCAGGACTCACCTTCCTCTTGCCTCGAACCCGCTCCGCCTGCATGGGCACCGCCTCCCCTATCGTCTTGCTGCCCCAGAGCTCCCAGCCTATGCGGGCGTAGGTGGCGAACAGTGTGATCATGGGGAGGAAGTAGTTGAGGACCATCAGCAAAATGCTGTACCTGGAAATAAATGGCGAACAGTGTGATCATGGGGAGGAAGTAGTTGAGGACCATCAGCAAAATGCTGTACCTGGAAATAAATGGTGGACATTGTGATCATGGGGAGGAAGTAGTTGAGGACTATCAGCAAAATTCTGTACCTGGAAGCAAAACAAGACGGTTACATCAGACGTGGGGATGGCGCCTAAATTCCCACGACGATGAAATGATAAGTCATCAAACGTAACTGACCCCCCTGGGTAATGGTATGTACCGGCTAGCTTCCAGTCTAAGGTCATTGATAAACATGACAAGTAGGGAGTTCTCGATATATAGAAATGCGAGCATCAATTGATAAATACGTTACAAGTAATTGGTCAATTAGTATAGCATTTTATTTAAGTCGGACCTATTCCCAAACAAAACTGTCAACTATAGCTCAAGTCCATGTCTTTTGTTGTCATACAACTCTACACACTTTGGGTTTTAGAAATTATCGGTTCTAAATTCATGACGTTTCCTAGGGTCTTTCATATGCTATTTTTCATACGATTTTTTTACAATCATTTAAATCAAGAATGGGTGGGTAATTTTAAAAAAATGCCTACTACATCATAGAATACCTACTACAATGTTAAAATTTCCTACTAATATAATGCATAATACCATGATAAAATACCTACAAGTAGAGTAAAATGCCCAATAATTGAATGACCACTGAAAGATTGCCTATTGCTGATAGAATATCTCATGATAGAATACCTTTTACTAAAAGAAAACCCAAAATCATAATACAATGCCTACTGCTATGATAGAATGCCTAAACAAATGCCCAGTAAAACTGGCCAGTAGTAGAATGCCTAGTAATAGAATGCCGATGATAGAATGCCGACTTACGTCATGTCTCTGATCTTGAAGATCTTCTCATCACTCGACCAGTTGAGGAAACAGATCTTCCTCCCGCTGGGATACTCGTAGATGGTGGAGTAGATGAGGTAGGGGAGGGAGAGGAAGAAGGAGAAGAGCCAGATGAGGGTAATGATGGTCAGCACGATGCGACCGGTCATTCGTGGCCGCAGTGGGTGGATGATGGCGATGTATCTGTGGACAATCAAACATGGAGGTGAAAATAGATGGAGAACCAAACATCGAGGTGAAAATAGATGGAGAATCAAACATGGAGGTGAAAATAGATGGAGAACCAAACATCGAGGTGAAAATAGATGGAGAATCAAACATGGAGGTGAAAATAGATGGAGAACCAAACATCGAGGTGAAAATAGATGGAGAATCAAACATGGAGGTGAAAATAGATGGAGAACCAAACATCGAGGTGAAAATAGATGGAGAATCAAACATGGAGGTGAAAATAGATGGAGAACCAAACATCGAGGTGAAAATAGATGGAGAATCAAACATGGAGGTGAAAATAGATGGAGAACCAAACATCGAGGTGAAAATAGATGGAGAATCAAACATGGAGGTGAAAATAGATGGAGAACCAAACATCGAGGTGAAAATAGATGGAGAATCAAACATGGAGGTGAAAATAGATGGAGAACCAAACATCGAGGTGAAAATAGATGGAGAATCAAACATGGAGGTGAAAATAGATGGAGAACCAAACATCGAGGTGAAAATAGATGGAGAATCAAACATGGAGGTGAAAATAGATGGAGAACCAAACATCGAGGTGAAAATAGATGGAGAATCAAACATGGAGGTGAAAATAGATGGAGAATCAAACATCGATGTGAAAATAGATGGAGAACCAAACATCGAGGTGAAAATAGATGGAGAATCAAAAACATGGAGGTGAAAATAGATGGAGAACCAAACATCGAGGTGAAAATAGATGGAGAATCAAACATGGAGGTGAAAATAGATGGAGAATCAAACATCGATGTGAAAATAGATGGAGAACCAAACATCGAGGTGAAAATAGATGGAGAATCAAAAACATGGAGGTGAAAATAGATGGAGAACCAAACATGGAGGTGAAAATAGATGGAGAATCAAACATCGAGGTGAAAATAGATGGAGAATCAAACATCGATGTGAAAATAGATGGAGAACCAAACATCGAGGTGAAAATAGATGGAGAATAAAACATCGAGGTGAAAATAGATGGAGAACCAAACATCGAGGTGAAAATAGATGGAGAATCAAACATCGAGGTGAAAACAGATGGTGCAGAGATGATAATGGGGCTGATAAAACAAAAGCTTGGGTCTAGATTGGAAAGCCTTTTTTCTTTGCTCTTAATAATAATGTTGGACGGGATTTCCTCCAACACAATTGAGTATTCCTTGTCATCATCAGTGGCGTAGCCAGGAATTGGTCATGAGAGGGTTTCAAACATTTTTCCATATGTATACAATCCTATATATATATATATATATATATATATATATATATATATATATATATATATATATATATATATATGGGTTTGGGTCTATGGGAGGGGTTATAACCCCCCTAACACCCCCTCCCCTTGCCTACGCCACTGGTCAACATGTTATTATCCTGTCATCCTATTGTCCTGTTTTCCATATAGGCCACTGACTCCGATTTCTGGCTGATTTCTTTTTGTATTTGCTACCATTGCCTTTGTCCATCCAAGAACAAACTACAAGGCAGAAGTTGTTTGATTTTGAAGTCTCTCCTAGATGGGTTGCTGTCCCTAGCTACCGAGCCTAGGGCGCCTAGCCAAAAGGGCAGTTTTAAAAAAAAAATAGTTTGGTGGTTAATGTTTTGCAATATGTAGATTAATGTGTCCCCGAAAATATGAATCCAGAGAAAACGGTCCCTATGCATTCATTAACCTCGCCTACTTATTTAAAATATTTTGTCAAAGATGGACATTGAGAGTCCAATTAGTAAAGTCCCTATTTGGTACAGAAATAGGTGAACTCTACAAAGCAAATGTAAATTCAATTAACGTAATACTTTAGTACACCAATTTAATTTTTAATTATTTTTTTTTTAACTCTTTTCTTTTTGGGAGAGGACGTGTGTGTTTCGGGGTAGGTTGGTGAGGGGAGGGGTGACGATGGGGAAGGGTGGTTCAAGGTAGGTTGGTGTGGGGGAGGGTGTGGCGTATGTGGTTCGGGGTGGGCTGGTGTGGGGTGGGGGTGGGGTGGTGAGGGTGGGGGCTGTGGGTGTATTGTTCGGCATATGTTGGTGTGGGGAGAGGGGTGGGGCGTCTGTGGTTAGAGGTAAGTTGTAGTGGGGAGAGAGGAAATAACACTTTCTATATCAGCCTCTATAACTAGTCAGTTTTTTTGTTTACATCAAATTTAATAGCCTTTGAATACAGTCTAGACGGAAGCATGAAATGCCCATTCCCCCAATCAGTAGACCTCTAGTTTACAGTCATTGCCCCAATCAGTAGACCTCTAGTTTAAAGTCATTGCCCCAATCAATAGACCTCTAGTTTACAGTAATTGCCCCAATCAGTAGACCTCTAGTTTACAGTCATGTTTTGATGCCGGGACAAAAGGCTGGCAGTTTTACGGTGTGTCATCTGGTGGGGGGATGAGGTATCAACATTAACAAGACGGTCTAGACAGGGATCTAAGTCATGACCCGTGGAAACATTGGTTGATGGGGGGTCATAGGTAGGTGTAGTATAGCTGGGGGGAGGTCATAGGTAGGTGCAGTATAGATGGGGGTCATAGGTGTAGTATAGATGGGGGGTCATAGGTGTAGTATAGATGGGGGGGTCATAGGTGTAGTATAGATGGGGGGTCATAGGTAGGTGTAGTATTGATGGGGGTCGTAGGTAGGTGTAGTATAGATGGGGGTCATAGGTAGGTGCAGTATAGATGGGGGTCATAGGTAGGTGCAGTATAGATGGGGGTCATAGGTGTAGTATAGATGGGGGTCATAGGTAGGTGCAGTATAGATGGGGGTCATAGGTGTAGTATAGATGGGGGGTCATAGGTAGGTGCAGTATAGATGGGGGTCATAGGTAGGTGCAGTATAGATGGGGGTCATAGGTAGGTGTAGTATAGATGGGGGTCATAGGTAGGTGTAGTATAGATGGGGGTCATAGGTAGGTGCAGTATAGATGGGGGTCATAGGTGTAGTATAGATGGGGGATCATAGGTGTAGTATAGATGGGGGGGGTCATAGGTGTAGTATAGATGGGGGGTCATAGGTAGGTGTAGTATTGATGGGGGTCGTAGGTAGGTGTAGTTTAGATGGGGGGGGGGGGGGTCATAGGTAGGTGTGGTATAGATGGTCATAAGTAGGTGTAGTATAGATGGGGGTCATAGGTAGGTGTAGTATAGATGGGGGTCATAGGTAGGTGTAGTATAGATGGGGGTTATAGGTAGGTGTAGTATAGATGGGGGTTATAGGTAGGTGTAGTATAGAGAGGGGCCAAAGGTAGGTGTAGAAAAAATGGGGGTCATAGGTAGGTATAGTATAGATGGGGGTCATAGGTAGGTGTAGTATAGATGGGGGTTATAGGTAGGTGTAGTATAGAGAGGGGCCAAAGGTAGGTGTATTATAGAGGGGGGCCAAAGGTAGGTGTAGAAAAAATGGGGGTCATAGGTAGGTATAGTATAGATGGGGGTCATAGGTAGGTGTAGTATAGATGGGGGTTATAGGTAGGTGTAGTATAGAGAGGGGCCAAAGGTAGGTGTATTATAGAGGGGGGCCAAAGGTAGGTGTAGAAAAAATGGGGGTCATAGGTAGGTATAGTATAGATGGGGGTCATAGGTAGGTGTAGTATAGATGGTGGTCTTAGGTAGGTGTAGTATACATGGTGGGGGGGTCATAGGTAGGTGTAGTATAGATGGGGGGATTAGTATATGACCCTTTAATCTTGCCCATTATGACCCTTTAATCTCGCCTATCATGACTTTTAAGTCTGGGCCACGAAACACATTACTTTACAAAAAAATTTAAAAAATTGTACTCTTCATATTCGGTTAATTGTTCGGGAAATTTTAGCTTTTTTTAAATACTTATAGTTTTCGTTAATTTCAAGGACTGCACAAATTATGTGTAATGGTAGACGTTGATTTGTAGGTTGTATCCCACGTATTGACAGAGGCGGGAAATTAGACACGGGAAAGTGACAGCAGACAATTAGAAACGGAAAAAATGAAAGCGAAAAACTTGAAACGGAAAAATAAAAGCGAAAAACTAGATAAATCTTAGGAGATAGATTTTGCGGCTTTATTCTGGTGATTTGTCCTTTAACACGGCCGCCTGACGTCATAAGTTTAGAGAGGTTTTTAATCTAGATCGAGTCTTTAATCCAATCAACAACTACTAATTAATCTTTCCATATCAATGGTGTTACGAATCAATCAAGCAGGTGCTTATAGTCCATCGGATTAGGCTTAGCCTTCTCAAAATGGCCACCAACTTGAAAAACAAATTGTTTGTATACATTGAGAAAGAGGTGGGTTAATACATAAGCTATTTATAGTACACCGGCTAAACTCAGGTCACGTGAGCATAAGCCAAGCATAGACATCTGAAGGGCGGATTATTCCACATGAGAAGATGTTTGGTTTGTGCCAGAATTCAGAATAAGAGTCCTGTTGGACCCTTGTCATAAAGTTTTAAAAATATAGCCTCGAAAATCTGATTGGTGTACTTGTAGAGGGCTTACATCAACAAGAGCTCGTGGGAACAATAACATCCGGTGACGTAATTCCTACAAGGAACCAATCGCTAACAGCCGCGGGTGGGGTGAGGTTAGAGGAAAACTTGATAGGTGAGACAAAACTTGATAGGTGAGACAAAACTTGATAGGTGAGACAAAACTCGATAGGTGAGACAAAACTTGATAGGTGAGACAAAACTTGATAGGTGAGACAAAACTTGATAGGTGAGACAAAACTCGATAGGTGAGACAAAACTTGATAGGTGAGACAAAACTCGATAGGTGAGACAAAACTTGATAGGTGAGACAAAACTTGATAGGTGAGACAAAACTTTATAGGTGAGACAAAACTCGATAGGTGAGACAAAACTTGATAGGTGAGACAAAACTTGATAGGTGAGACAAAACTTTATAGGTGAGACAAAACTTGATAGGTGAGACAAAACTTGATAGGTGAGACAAAACTTGATAG